TGTGTTCTTCGTTTTTGTGTGCTGAATCCAACCGTATAAAGAACGTGAAATTTGGATAAACGGTTGGAAAGTTATAGGCAAAACATTGGACAGAGGTCGAAACTGGAAAAACAGAGAAACGAATCTGCCCAAAACGACCGGTTGTTACTGTTCAGGCGACCGGTCGCACATGAATCTGCCCAAAAAGACCGGTCGTCACTGTTCATGACCGGTCGTCACTGTTCATTTTCACTGTTCACCGCACTGTTCATGGCACTGTTCACAGGTGATAAAAGGGTGATAGAAAGTGTTGTTTCTGTTTTTCTTTGGTTTCTTGTGTTGTTTCATTTCTTTTACATTTCTTTACTTATTTTTAGTTTCCAATTTGCATTTGTGCATTTGTGGTGTGTTAAATTAGTGTTCTTTACGTACTCAAACTAGAACTTATAGGAAGCCGACAAGTTCTTCGTGGGATCGACCCCGTACTTACATAATCTTTACTTCATTAGATTCGTGCACTTGCGGGTATTTTTAATTGGTTGTTTGCACATTAATTTGTGTCCTTTTAGGAATGCAACAGCCTTCTTCTAGAACAAGGCCAAGAATCTGCGGCGCAGACGCTCTACCGTGACACGCACTATAAGTTGTTGCACGACCGGGTTATGGAGTTCTTGGCGGAGCAGTTAAAGTCTGATATTGACAAATTGAAGCAGCACAGACTGAAGATGGAATTGGAATCTAAAGATAATGATAAACTGCTTCTCGTTAGCCAGGCTGCAGAATGTTGCACTCCCAGCAGCCCTGAACAAGTCCAGGCCACCCGCGCCATTTTGTTGTTTGAAAGCCTTGGGAGGATTCTTTTCCCGCAAGAATCAGATCAATCAGAAGAATGGGAACGGCTTAGGAAGGAGTTTTTGGAGCCCTTGACCGAGTATAGTCGTCGACGCACGCAAGTTTATCCCATTCGAGTTCGAGAGCCCTGTGTGGTCAAGATGTATTTGGAGGAGGTGAAAGCAGGCGGCAGCATCATAAAGTCGGATGCATTGCTTCCAAATGATATCATAAGATATGTAAAAGATAAGGATGTTGGGGAAGCAGCTGAGATTCAGTGGAAGGCAATGATGGAGAACATGTACCAGGGGGAGAACAAATTTAAGAACTGCTTGGCAGTGTGTAACATCACCTACGCCATGAGCGCAGTGGCAGAATTGGCGGCAAGTTTGGGAATTTTGGTGTCTGAATTGAGTGAAGAGCCGGCATGGAAAGGAAAAGTGATCACTCTGGGTCCATTGCCTGATAAGCTGCCGCTGCTGCATTCGATACAAGGCAGTGATCTCAAGTCCAGGTACGACTTTGTGATCAGCACATGCAGCAACCGGCTCAGCGAGGCTCCTGATTTTGATCAGGTGTGTGATTTGATTCTGGAAGTGGCTGTGAATCATAACTTGAAGGCGGAGCAGATGATCAAGAAGGTGTTTGTGCTCACCGACTCTGTAAGATTTGGTGGCTGCAGCACATCCTGGAAGACTCTGTATGAGGCAAAACGCAGCAAGTTTAAGGAGCATGGTTACGGGGATGATGCAATGCCACACATTTTGTTTTGGAATATTTGGGACTTTGGGGGGTTTATGCCTCGTGTAGAAGAACCTCATCCAGGAGTGACCCTCTTGAGGGGAAACTCGAAGACATTGATCAAGTCCTTCTTAGATAATGGTGGGGAAATTGGCCGGCATCATCTCCTGGAAGCAGCCATTGCCAACAAAGAGTATCAAACTCTCTCTGTGGTCGACTGAACGTAAACTGAGATTGATTGAGATCAAGATCAAGATCATCCATTTTGGAGGAATAGCCTAGCCTATGCTTAGCTACTAGAATTTGGATTCTGTTTAACAAAATGGTTATCTGGCAACAGAGGCACTATTTTTTTCAATAAAAATAAAATTAGACCAACTGTAATTCTGCACCCATTTTGTGTCGGCACATATTTTCACTCTTTGGAAGCTGATGCTGTGAACGATCTGAGAGCAATCACTCCAACACTTGATCCCAATCCACGCAAGGTTCAGGATGGGAAGCGCACACTATGCTACCAATGTCATTTCTTTAACTTTGAGTACCTATTTGTCAATGATGATTGTTGTGCTTCATACTGTGTAATATAGACAATGACCGAAAACTATGGTATGCTGCAGCATTTTGATGTTGATTCTAGGGATCTGACTTGCTTGCTTTCTGGTTTCAACTTGAATTTGTTGTCTTGTTTCACCAATCTTGTAGGAAAATCTAGTTTATAGTTACCTCTCCATGCTTCTCACGAAAGATAGCTGTTATCGGCAGGTGTCGTGAGTACACTGATGCTCCATAGATGGGGTATGCAATCACAAGTGTCTCCATCATCCTTATGATGTGTACTTAATCATTCTTTTTTTCTCTTATGTGTAGTTTTCAGTACAAATTGTAGATATAAATTTGCCAGCTGATGGCATAATCCTTTCCAGGATGGACACCCCAAAGAGATCCATAAAAGTGGGACTAATACTCTCAACACGCTCCCGCACGTGTGGTGACGTGGGAGCACATGTGGCTGTTGAGCCCAACAAGTGAAGCTTTGCTTTGATACCATGAAGAAAGTTGAGGTTCCACCCCAAAACCAATTAGCCATGGGAGGAGTAGCCCAACTCTTTATAAATCCAGACTTAGTCCCTTAACTTTTAAATATGGGACAAATACTCTCAACAGCTTCTACCTCCAAAACTTAGATTTTGAAAGCTTACCAGATGTTATGTTCTCTTGCACTGATGACTTTAACATAAATATCTCATGTCTTTGGTCACTCCAACGTTGCTGTATTTCTATCGTGGGCCCGTCAAGCTTATACAAATGTCGACTCGAGAGAATCCGGTTTTACAGTCCTAGTATCTGTTCATATCTTTGAATCCTTACAGCCCCATGTTCCCAAAACCCGGCTGCTTGCTTTTGATGATAAGAAAAGGTCAACCCTCACTACTTATATCAAGTGCATGGGAAGAAGGTAGTTACCCCTAAAATAGAACAATTTTTCTTGTGTGAATTTAGGGTTTGAGTATAATATTTTACTCTCTATTGCAGTCCAGAGGATACTTGTCCAGTTCGTTGATACCGTTGAATTTCAGATGATAGACTTGGATCTACTTACATCCAGAGAGACATTAGTTCCACTCATTTTCGATCATTCTGTTTACTTCGGAGATCAGGATGAAAATTTTACACCATAGGAGGGTGAATCCATATGCTGCAAAAGCAGTGATGTTACAAAAAAATTCTACAGTAGCAGAAGCCCACAAGTTTTTCAGAATCTTTTCAAATAGCAACAACAAGCACTTAGTAATTGTAACAAATGGATATAGAGCAGAGTGTTTAAGTTGTCTTGTATCCAAGACAAGCACTTCTAATTGCAAGCCTTCAGTTACAAACACAAATTTAAATTTTCTACAGTACCATACGCCATACGTATAATCTTTTCATGCAATAACAAGTACTTTGTAACTGTAATGACAAGCAAAGTGTGTAACTGTATCCAAGATAACCACTTCAAATTGTACGCCTTCAATTACAAACAATGATTTTTTACTCCATCAACACTTTCACTCAAGAATCTTTGTGCGGCTGCTGTTGCTGTGGCCATGTCGGCTGAGCAATGTAGGGATGCGTCTGTTGGCCATAAAGAGTTTGATCCATTACAGGCTTTCCCACTATCATCCCGGGAGCACCAACCTGTGGAGCATGCTGAGCAGGCATGTAATAGTAAGGCACACCATCAGTCGAACTTCCAACTGGAAGATTCCCACCTCTTGGGATAGACGCAAGTACCTCATCTTTCAAATCCTCTCTCGGGACGATATCAACCAGAAAATCGAATATATCAGTCCGTGTAATTGCTGCGGCAATGTCATTCTTTTGCAGTGTTCTTCTTTTGTTCTCCTCTGTGTGATTCCAAGACCGCAGTGTCAATTCTAGAATGAACATCTCACAGGCCCTGGCAAATATGACGGGGGCTTCAGCTGAGATCATCCTCACATCCTCATCAGCCTTCATAATCTTTTTAATCCTGGCCAATGGCAAACTATGGTTCTTGAAATCCATAACCGCCTCAATTTCTTGATACTGTTCTGCCCAAAAACTTTGGAGTTGTTGCTGTAGTTGCTGTTGTTGTTGCTGGTGGATGTGCTGATAAGCTAGTTGGTGTTGTGCAAGCTGAGAAGAGGCTGGAGGACCTGCCGGCTGAGTAGGAGATTGCATCAATCCAACTGATCCAGTGGGAGAGAGCACCATCATTTGGCCAGACTGATATGGGTTCACACCATATGATGCTTGAGCAGCACTACCAGCCACTCCCATTGTTGTGGGATGCCCATGTCCTTGCTGATCCATACTGGTGTAGGTTGACAAGTAAGAAGTTCTCTACGCAGCTACGCTCCCTTTCGGTGCAGAGGACAAAATAAACAATCAATATGAACACTACTGTTAAGAAATTCTAAAAAGTTTAAAATTCCAAGAATCAAATTTTTGAAACCCCAATAAAAAGTAGACTGCTCTACTGAATATCAACTCTAGGATTTTGGGTTCCAGATTCATGCTTGTGAGCTGACAAAATAGAAGTGCTGGAAGCCAAACTATTAACACAACCCTCCTCCTTTCACAGGGTTTAGGACCAGCTGTGTCACTAAAAATGAGGCTAGAAATGCTGAATATCTAGTATGTAAAACCCATAAAACTTAAGCCCCATCAATTAATACTATACGGTCAAACTAAAGCTTCAAAAACAATCAATACATATAATCTCTTCCACCTGAAATCAAACATTAGAGACCCTTAACAAAATTTCCCCCACAAGCAGGTCTAGCGTAAACATATTTCAGTACTCTTATATCTTATACCAGTCAATTTTGTTACAATTAGCAATCAATCTTATCGTAATTACCGATTTCCATAGGAAATTCTCATTATTCTGAACATTGCACAACCAAGACAAAATGTTTCAAATTCAGTACTCTATCTTGATAAGAAAATGCAGAAACTGTTATTTGGAAATAGATACATACACAACTCACCAATTAGACCAGTGCACTGCTCAACAACTTACCTCTATAAATTGGACAAGCATGAATTCCACTTAACATGGACTATTAGCCTTTCACTGAAAAGGCCAGAGTCTGAAAGCCGCATGCAACTGTTCATACCCAAAAGACTACGCAATACACCGACACCCCCAAAAGAAAAAACAAACAAAACCAAACAAAGGTTAGACCTTTACGATAATCTTGCATCATTTCCTTCCAGCAAAAAAGACAAGAGTCAACTCAAAAGTCTCACACGGTCACACCTCTGCTCATCAACTCACTGAGTCAAATTGCATAGCAACACAAACCCCAGAAACCAACTGATTCCGATTTACTTCACACAAAAACACACGACTTGTGTACTATACGTACATATACCGTACCTACCAACGTATAAACAGAGTTAATTCACCATCTATACTTAAGATTAAATCCTACGGTTCCCGAAACCCTAAAAAAATTCAAGAACAGCTTTATAAGGCTAATTTTCACTACTTACAAAGAAAATTCCCAACAACACAGTACACATAAAAATAAAAATAAAAATCCTAAAGAAAATATAAAACCCAAGCATAAAAGTAAATAAAGCTGGTACCTTTGACTCACTGCTTTCTTCCCAATTCTGGGTTTTATCCAACCACCAAAACCCTTAAAGAAAACAAAATAGTTTAATGAAAATCATATACAATTTGAAACTGAAGCTTAAGGGGAAAAAGAGAGAGAAAATCATACTAGAAGAAGAATTATTTCACAGAATATTTGGAAAATTGAATATAAGAACCCGAACCTTACGAATGCTTTTAGGGTTCTTCTGGAAATCAATCAAATAAAACAGTAAAGGAGATTGAAGTGGGGGATCGAAGTGGAGAGAGTGGGAAGAATTTATGTGTGCATTCCACTATAAAAAAGCGCCAGTTTTGGTTCGTCGTCCCAACTATAACTTTCCGTTTGACTTTTTCCCTTGTGATGATTTTACCCTCCGAATGAATTCCTTATTTAAATAAAAATAAAAATAAAAATAAAATATCTTCTTCCACCAATCAACTTCAACTGCCTAATTTATTTATCCAATCCAATGTGTTAAATTCAAGATATTTTTGTTCAGGAGAGAATTTAAATAATAATAAAAACAAAGGGCATTTAAGTACCAAGAGTCAATCCTGAGTCAGCCCTTTGGGTGGGCTAGAGTGCCCTGACCCATACAATTGAAATATCTAGCTTTTTATACCTACTTACAAATTATGGGCTATGGGCTGTGGGCCATGGATAGTGGTCAATTGGTTGACCTATCATTTTCTAATAAGAGGTGTGCATAAATGCTTGAACTAAATACAAAGACATCTGTCATAATGAAGTTTAATAGTTGGGATTGAGGAGTATCCCTGAAGTTAGTATGACATATCTAATGAAACATCAAGACAAAGCTATCTAATCAAATTGAATATTAAACTCCATTATTAACTTAAAGCATCTCCAAGGGAGATGTTAAATTCAATGTTGCATTTTCAGTGTGTAGAAAAACAGTTGAAATTAACTCCAACCGAGATGTCAAATTGTCACATAAACCATCAAATTCAAATTTAATGTTTGATATTTGACATCTCCCTTGGTGGAAGAAGTTTTAGATCCCTATAGTTAGTATGAATACATCTAATGGAAAATCAAGATAAGATTAGTCTAAATGAGAATATTAC